GAATATCAAGAGTATTGATGACTACGTTTGGTAAAGGACAAGTGACAGAAAAATAGAAATCAATGTGTTTTATTTAATGCTCAACTGAGTCAACATTTTGTTTCCGAAAAATAAGAATATGTCCATGTAGAATTATGGTCTGACTAAAGCAGTCTATGCGAAAGTCACTGGACCATCGGTTTTTACCGGTAAAATTTGATTCGGGTCGGTAAAAAAATTTAGGTTACAGGACCAATTGTCCGATGAAAAATTAAAGCCTAAAAATCTGAATTTACATGTATATATGGTCTTATTCTCCACCATTTCCTTTATTTGATCCATTTAGCAGTAATACATGATTAATTTTAATCTATATGAATCCTGTCATGATCGTTTATTTCTAACTCAAATTTCCTCTGTCATGGAGTATAGATCTACAGATAGCTCATACATAGATTCGATTTGGCGAAATTATTTTCATTAATAAACAAGAATAACCGTAATGAGTTACTTCAGAAAATAAATAAATATATTTTAAAGTGCATTTTAATTTTTTAAAAAATCTTTGACAATAATTTTTTTTAATCTCAAATCTGGATCTATTTGAAGTTCAATTTAACAGTGAGAATCCCCCTCCTTTTTTTCAATCTCTGTATCATAATGATGTATGATTGAATTTAAAGAAAAAAGGTTGGTCTGGTAAGTAAATGCTTGGTCTGGTAAAATATACATTTTTACCAGATATTATGTCCTGTAAATATTTTAAGACTTTAGCATAGACTGCTAAAGCACAAAATTTCAGAAATTTGAATTGAGGCTTTAATGCAATTTGCAAAATTGCAGCCATCTTGCTTGAAATTTTTAAGAAATTCAAAATATTCCTAGTAAAAACTTGTCACCAAATCCTTTTCAAGTCCATTTCACATGAGACCATAATTCAAATAAATATATGCATCTACATCATACATTTCATATCATGGAATACCTACATGTAAATGAATAATTACCTTGCTGTTCTTTAAAACATGCTTTCTTTGTTGCACTTTGTCTGCATGTCTGTTTGCCTGTCTGTCATATCTTATATACTGTAACCTGTAAGAGATAGGGTTTAATATTTTTAATTTGCTCATGTTTTACTTGGAATAAATGTTTCTGTAAAATCAATTGTTAGTTGTTATGTCCAGTGTATGTTATTAATTAATATTGATCAATATTGTTGCTTTCATGTGGAGCATGGAAAGGATAAAGTAGTGCTAAATCCTTATTAATTAATTCTATAAGTTTTCATTGTTTAAGTACCAATATAATTTAACCAACAAAGTAAACATTGAAGCATAAATCATGATATTGAATATTCAAATGCTAAATTTCCATTTGAATGTTTGCCATTTACTATTCATTCACGAATATTCGAACATTCGTTTCAGCTCTACTATGACACTTTACACTGGAAATATTTTTAAGTCTTCTTAAAATCTCTAAAACTTGATAATTATAACAGTGGTGTAAAAGTTGGAAAAAATATGTGAATATACAAGTAATAGTCTCATCTAATATAAAAAAAAAAAAACGTGTATGTATGAATTGGAGAACATAAAATATAACAATCTGAAATCCATAGTAAAAATACTTTGATTTACTATCTAGTAAAACCTTTGATTTACTATAGTAAAAACTTTGATACTATAGTAAACTGTAGTATTTTTTTGTTAGGGTGGGCCACATATTTCACAATTTTGGAAGAGGCACCCTTGATCATCATACCATGCACTTAGTTCATCAATTTGATTCCCAAGAGCAGAGAAGAGGAGATTTCCAACGAATTATGCATTTTCACTATATAATCAATAGAGCCCTGCACTAGCATCAGAACCTCTGACCATGAAATTCATAATTTTGGAAGAGGCATCCTTGTACATCATATTATGCATTTTAGTTTGTTTGCTTAATATCCAGGACAGGGGAGAAGATTTCCAGAGCATTGATGCATTTTTGCTATAGAATCAAAAGAGCCCCATCCTAACAACAAAACCTCTGATGCAGAAGCTCTGAAATTCAAAATTTTGGAAGAGGCACCCTTGCTTATCATAACCATAAACTTAGTTCATCTGCATAATATCCAGGAGCAGAGGAGAAGATTTTCAAACAATTGATGCATTTTCACCATATACTCAATAGAGCCACATTCTAATACCAGAACCTCTGACCCAGGGAGCCCTGAAATTCACAATTTTGGAAGATACACATTTTTAATGATAACCATGCATTTAGTTAGTTTGCTTAATTCCCAGGATTTTTAAAGATTTCATTGATGTTGAAGCTTTTAGCCCCACCTCTCAGGCCCAAAGGGGACAAGGGCTATGAAATTCAAAATTTTTGTTTTCCTTCACTCATTGATGCTGTATATGCTAAAATTAGTTGAAATTGGTTGAGTGGTTCATGAGAAGAAGCTGAAAATGTAATCAAATGTTCACACATAATGGATGACAACCGATAGCAATAGGTCACCAGAGAAATTCAGGTGACTTTAAAAATACTACAGATGTTACACTCAACTCTGTTTTTCCAATACTTTGATAAATAGGTAGTGACTCCATTTTGTATAACATTTTAACATCTGGTGATGTTAATACATCTGAGGTGTTTTTCCAAGCTCACTGAAAAGGCCTGAGAAGATGCGATTGGTATAATACCGTTTTTCAATTGACCTTTCTTACAGCTTTCTTGATCGTTATTTACAGCACTTGATTAATTATCATAGGTGAATAGCAAAAGGGAACAACTTCTCTCAGAAAAATGCAAATTAATAGAGCCTTTCCCGGCACCAGAACACTTGACTAAGTGTTCAAGAATTTCCAGAAAATTGTTTGTGGGTTCATGGATCCCGTGGGTCAGCCTTACTCACAAATTTACAACCCCATGAACAATTTTTTTGTCAACATATATATTAATTGAATCTGCTTTATATATGAGTTAACCACGAAATTACATCCCAACAAACAAACATATATATAATACATACATACATACATACATATATATATATATATATATATATATATATATATATATATATATATATATATATATATATATATATATATATATATATATATATATATATATGATTTTGTTTGCCCACAAAATCGGCCCACCACAAATTAGAATAATTCCACAGTATCTGGTTAAAATACCCTTGTCTATTATATTGTACTCTGTTTGTCCACTAGATACTTAGGCCATCATTAAAAATATTTTTCTTTGTTCTCAGACCAGCATTTTTCATCTAAAATCATCTAAGAAATAATTAACTTTAAAATTAAAACAATCTGTATTTCCCTGGATACCCAGGAAAAAACAAGAGGCCCATGGGCCACAATGCTCACATGAGTAAATATCCCCTGCCATTCATCATCGGCAGATTTTTTTCTCCTATCTATTCATATGTTAGACTTTGATCCCCTGTTGTGGCCCCAAGCTACTCCCGGTGAAATGATTTGAACAAACTTAAATCTTAACTATCTGAGGATACTTGTATAATTTGATGACTATGTAAAACTTTGATTCCCCATTGTGAACCCACCCTTCCCCTGGAAGTCATGATTTGAACACCATGTAATGAAAGTTTCATGTAACTAAGTTATAACTGCTCAGGCCGAATGGTTCTTGAGAAGACGATTTTCAAAAGATGACACCAAATATTCACTTATTCTTCATTATCTACCCTTGAAGGAGGGCATGGCCCTTCATTTGAACAACCTTGAATCCCCTTTACCCAAGGATACTTTCTGGCAAGTTTGGTTGAAATAGGCTCAGTGGTTCTGGAGAAAAGGTTGAAAAAAGTGAAAAGTTTATGGAAAGACAGACAGACAGATGGACAGGCAGAGGATGCCAGACAAAATGTGTTCAGAAAAGCTCACTACTTTCAGCTCAGGTGAGCTAAAAATAAAAAATTTAAAGTACTGGGAAAAAAATGGGTAGGGTTAATTTTAATAGGTCAGTCTCAGTACATCAAAAAAATATCAAGCGATATCTGCACTTGTTTTTCATTTGTTATTAAAGACATTCAGACTCTTAAATGCAAGTTTTCTACTGATAATGATTATCTAATGCTTTTTAAAATTTATAATTTTTCCCTCTTTAATTTGGTATACCTATTCTGAATGATTGTTTGATTTAAAAAAAAGTGTGGCTTAGTTCTTTGAAATGCTCTTTTGTCCCAACTCGATGGGCAGATTTTATAGAAAAGTGTGACTTATGTACAGAAAACCCACACTTTTAACTTAAGAAATCTCACCTAACTATAGTACAAATATATATATATATATATAGAGAGAGGTTTAGTTACAAGTGACGTCACAATGTGTACGCGTAATTTTGACATACACATAATATTTGACGTCAACATAAATATTACGCTTCAGTTATACATATAGTACATATGCATATGTTCGAGTGATTAGGGTATGCCAGATTTGCAGATTTTTTATGAGACTTTTGGCCCAAGTATACTATATGTTTAAGTAGTTCCGGTGAACATGGCGCATTTATTTAAAAAATGTGACGTTAATTTGTATTCATTTTTTTTTTAAATTATTTGAATAATAATTTGTATTAACTAAAACAATAAATTAAATCAATGTGAAAGAGATAAGCAGTAACTGTTATTGAAAGTTTAAAATACAGGTCGAGGGAATTGCAGGCAAGCTAATGAATTTGTGTACAGTAGGCAGGTCAGTAGGTCGACAGGTCAGCAGGTCGACAGGTCAGCAGGTTAGCAAATAAACGTGTACAGGTTGACAGATCGACAGATAAGCAAGTTAGCAAATGAGCATGTGTACAGGTCGACAGGTAAGCAGGTCAACAGGTAAGCAGGTTAGTAAATAAACGTGTACAGGCCAACAAGTCAGCGGGTCAACAGGTATACATGTCGACAAGTCAGCAGGTCAAAAGGTAAGCAGGTCAAAGGGTAAGCAGATCGACAGGTCAGCAGGTCGACAGGTAAGCAGGTTAGTGAATAAATGTTCACAGGTCAACAAGTCAGCGGGTCGACAGGTCAGCAGGTCGACAGGTCAGCAAGTCGACAGGTAAGCAGGTTAGTGAATAAATGTGCACAGGTCAACAAGTCAGCGGGTCGACAGGTCAGCAGGTCGACAGGTCAACAAGTCGACAGGTTAGCAGCTCGACAGGTCAGCAGGTCTACAGGTAGGCATATTAGCTAATAAACATGTGTACAGGTCGACAGGTAAGCAGGTGAACATGTCAGCAGGTCGACAAATCAGCAGGTCAATAATTTTATTAGGCAGACACGGGAATAGCCAGCAAGTATGCAAATGAAATAGTGGTATTTTGGTAAAAATATATTTAAACTTTCAGTTGTATATTAATATATCAACTTAAATTAATTTGATTTATGATATGCGATATCCTTAAATCTAAATAACTTTGATACCATAGTAAGAATTTAAATAACGAAATTTAACAAGTTTGAACGGGTCAAGTTTAATTGAATATTTGTGGTGAATATCTATACATGTCGACCTGCTGACCTGTCGACCTGCTTACCTGTCGACCTGTTTACCTGTCGACCTGTTTCCCCATATTTATTGTTAATTCAAAATTTAATGAATATGTATATTATGTAAATGTTATGAATAAATATGTAACTACAATAAATATTCATTACTTTAATAGGGTAGATATGAGGACTATTTACTCATTTTGTTAAAACTGAAAATCCGCAGGAACTACAATACCGTATACTGCACTTGACCCAGACTTTTTTGGCAAACTTCAATGAAAAATATACCCATGCTAGAGATTTCATATATATAAACTTCAAGGTAATGCATTGAAGCACCAGTCTACTTGGCTCTGTATATTTTGAATCTCTACAGTTCACTTTTCAGGCACGCAACTTCGCTTCAAAAGTGGGTGCAACCAAATAGATAATTGAAAAGAAAAAAAGAAACAACTATAACACCCCAAGAAATAAAGTGTTTCACAAAATTCTAATTTCCATAACTTAGAAATTAGTGGTGGTAGTGGTGGTGGGAAAGGGGGGATCTACCAGCCAAAAACTTTTAAGCCAACAAGGTACGATTACATGGGAGGCTTGATCATATTGCAAAAAAAGGAAGGAGTAAGAAAGAAAAATCCATACAGTTAACGGAAAATAATTGATCAACCTTGAGCAATTCATGAATGTTCAGTTTGATATTGAAGGAACAATCTCTTACTGCTTTGTAGTCAGAAGTATAGCAGTATGAAAATAAGGAGGAATTACATGTACAGTGTATTGCTAATATTTCTTGTCCTGAAATGCAGAGACGTAAATTTGTGAAAGAGGACCTTGCCCAAACAGCATGTACATGTATAAGGATTTGTAAAAACGAAAACTTCTTTAAGGGGTAATATTATGATGTTCATAAAAGTATGAAATTTCAAATGTTCATAAATAAGTTTAATTTGTGCAAGAAATGAAATGTGTGGTTTTGATTGGTGACTTTGATTGTTTCTTACATTTAAGTAATAGTATATTTAGAAAAAATAATGTAATATTAATTGTATACTTGGACTAGTATATATAAACATATTTTATATATATAAATATATTATATTGTTTCTTTAAGACTTTATTTAAACTTTAATTAAAGAAAATATAAATTATTACGGAAAAGTTAAATGCATACGGAGTGAAAAGTGTAAAAAAAAAAAAGGATTTGAAAAATAGCATCATGAAAAGAAACATTCAAAATCACAATAATGTTTACAGATGGCATGCGAAGGGTCTCTCGTTCTCGGAAATCTTGTAAACAAACATGTTGCTTGATATATCTGTTAAAATTGCTGAAAGTTAACGGACTTTGTCGGAATCATAATTCCTTAGGCCAGTTGAGATGATTTAACTTTAATTCAGCATTTTGAATATCTGGTAACAATTTGAGATGGGCAATGGTCATCAATCTTGGTTAGGTTTGGCTAGCAGTTCATCACATTAATTAAATAGAAATTTATGTAAGCATTCAAGGACAGAAATAATTTCAGCATCACTAATAATAAAAAACATACAACACAAACAACATTTTTGTATTATATCAAATTTTAAAGACCATAACCTGAGAATATAGACTTAAGTAAAATTTTTTATACTATCTTAATATTAATTTTGCATGTCTGTTTTAAAAATTGTAGTTTTGTGTAATATTCAAATACAAACATCCGAAGAAAATATTGTTTGATTATTAAAAGTTATATTGATATGAAATTTTGAATTAAGTCTGTTCTCAGTTTATGGTTTGGAGCCAGAATGTTTTGATAACAAGGGTCACAAGAATGCCATCTAATCCAAAAGGCAAATTTAACGAAAATATTTTAAAATTTAGGCACTGAAATATTTACTTCATGCAGGGACGTATATACTAGGAAGTTTTGTAATGTATATAAAATATAGATCCCTATATAATTATCAAGTTTGTAGGGGCATACATGTTACATGTATTTTCAAAATTGTATAAAATTATATACATAATTTTATGTGCAAGCAAAATAAAACAATTTCTCTAGAATCTGTCTTAACTAAAGCGAAAGTAGACACGGTAACATGGTATATCTTTCCGCTTTGTTTCAACTTTGTTCTGGGTAATTAATTTGAAGTATAGGCCCTTCTCAATTTTCCTTATGATCGAAAATGCGACTGAGGAAATTCGAAATAAGTTTCAGGTAGATGACTTTATGGGAGGTGTTAAGAAGGATTGACGCACGTCATATCATATGTACACTTCAGACTATAAAACAAAGCTTATTAATACATACCTTGGTACAGTTATAAATCCCAACAAAACTATATGGTTTACAATTGATTTGCCAACACTCGTGCGCGCACCTTGTAACGCGATGTTTGGTCATTCGTCATTTCCCTCGCTTTATACTCTCCAAGAATGACGTCATGATTCATGAGATGCTTGCAAACTTTAATATTTTCTTTTTTGAATTGAGTGAAAATATTATAAGAAATTAAAAGAAAAATAAATATAATCGGATTTAAATATATTTTTTCCTTCAGAAAAATCGAGGAAGTGGTTTATTATGCTAATAATGTAGTTCAGAGTTAAAACCTTTCCTATATGATAATGCTGGGAGATAAACATCACTTAGTAAAAGGATTTATCATCCTCTTGTGTTTCTCATAGATTATCATTATACATACAAAATCCTTTTTCTAACAGTATTTTATCAATCCGTACGGAAGGAAGGAATTCCATGGCCTTCTGCTAACAGACAAAGTATGATGATAAATTTCTTTTAGTAAAAGGTGATAAGTGTAAGGATCGGGTGGTGTGTGAGGGTGTGTGCGTGTGTGTTAGTCGTTCTCTATTAATTGACTGTTATGTTATAAATTGATTGCTATGTTATTGATTGATTGCTACGTTAATAATTGATTGATATGTTAATAACTGATTGCTATGTTATTAATTGATTGTTTTGCTATGTTATTAATTGATTGCTATTTTATTAGGTTAAAAACGTCCCTGATGACGAGGAGTTTTCTTTTTGTCACAAGGTAGGTGACGTCATACTTCTTCCTTGACAATCTGAACATTATTCAAATGGGTGATACCTTTCCCTTTTTCCTTATGGCCTTTACTAATTATCATAAATCTCCTATACTGAAGGCTTTCGACTGCATGGATCCATAAGCTGTAAATAAAATCATTAATTTATGTCACTCTTGACATAAGTGATATCAAGGATTTTTTTTGAGATGTATATTTTAGTTAACTACTCGTATAGCATGACTCAGTTGCAGAGAAAAAATGGGGGTCAGTGTGCATCTTAGTGAGCAAGGATGCAATTAACTTGACCTTTTTGCACTTAAATTGTAACTTTTAAGTTAATCACTTTAACCTTTTTCGTATTTTACCAGATGTGATCATGGCAATAAATATAATCTTATATTATGTAAAATAGTTTGAATAATATTTATGATTTTTTTTTTTTAAAAATATGCAAAAATATGCGTGTTAAGTATTGTGTGACCTTTTTGCACTAAAATTCATATTGGGGGTATGGGAAATCTAAACCGGCAATAAAGCAATTTCTTGTATAAAGCTTTTTATAACTTTAGAGCTGATCGGTTGAGCGTATCGTGTAGTTTAAAATAATGAAAGAAAAAGTTGGGGCCAGTGATGTAAATTTTGAGATATTGATCAAAATATGCGAGTTTCAGGCAAACAAACAATGTAAATTTTATGTGCACTTTTTCAATTTATTTTTTTGGGGGGAGGGGGGGGTCTATTATTTGAATGTGTAAAAAAAAATTAAAATATTTTAAACCTCTTTTTAATAGTCCTTACCATATAATTACGAAAAAAATACCCAGTGTAAAAATATGTAGTGCTAAAGTTCCAAGATATTAAATGAAACATATGTGTAGGTTTGAAGAATTTTCTTTTGAAACATCCTTCCAAAAAAAGAAATAGTCCCTCATAAATCTTGTTTCTTTTACGTTTTTATGGGCAAAAATTAAATGTTAAATTGCAATAAATGATTTGAAGTTAAAGGCTCTAACTAACCTTTTTATTTTAATGACGAGTGATATTCCTTAAGTCATTTTTTCCTTTATTTTTCTAAATATACGATGTTGCAACTCTTACAATGTAAAGATTAATACAAATAAAAATAATTTTACATAGTTGTATCATTTTACTTTGGTATGAAAAATATGTACCAAGTAAGAGGAACTTAGAAAGTCTTTAAATCCTCTACAGGAATTCATTTCACATACGCCATAGATTAGTCTGATCAAGAGCTATAAACAATATTTTCTGTCAGGTTAAAATGGAAGTTTAGATAGAGAGAATTTCATAAAATGTTCATAAAATAATGTGTTCATAATCACAGTTTGATCTGCTGAAGAAAACCCTCATTCTGAAGGCCGGTAAGACGTGGGAGATGATTTTTGGTGATGGACCATGGCAAACTTTAGACGAATTGAAAGATATCTACTCAAAAATATTTGAAGAACCCAAGGTTAGACATCAGAAAGTTTTATTTTATCTTATTGTGAATTATAATTCTTATCTTTTTTTATACTGTGTTACCTTAACAAACAATACTACATGTATTCACCATACAAAGCTTTAGATATCTAGCTATAGTTATTTGGAAAGGTGGTCTGGATCCCCTAGGATATATTCAGAGTGATTAAATTTATATTGTGAAGTAACCAAAATATGACCATATATCCCCCAAGGAAACAGAGGTTCCTCGTAGTTGATCAGGAAAGTCATGTATATGAAGGAAAATTGGCTTACAACAAAAAATTTAAAAATCTCTCCAAAGGGTATTTATGATAAAACAAGGATCGTGAATGGTAATCTATTTTGAATGTCCACTGAAAAAGGGTTTTAAAGCATAATTTTCCTCTGAGACATTGCGATCTATTGCGAAGTTTAAATACCAATAAGCTTTATGAATGGCATTTGATCACAGCTATGACTTTTTGCCTTAACACCCTCTAAGCCCAAAGACAGCAACTGACAAAGCAAAAGGAAATTAAATTTGTATCGTAAAACTAATTTATTTTGTAACATTATGATTATCATTATAATTTAATTCTAATTATCTACAAAGTGAGTCTAACTTACGACTAATCTGTATGCATCTTATGTTGAACAGGGGATGCAGGGTTGGGACAGTGATATTAGTTTTGGCTGGCAGCGATTAAATGGTCTTAATCCAAATATGATTCGTCTTTGTTCCCATCTACCGGACAAGTAAGGGTTTGATATAATATATCTGCTCTTCTAAAGAGATATAATAATAAAACAAGAATTATCTTTATAGTAGAGATTGTACGTGTTTACGAAACAATAACCCTGATTCCAAATAATTGTTTTATCAATTAAAAATTCGGTTAAAATTTATTTATATTCAATTCAGATTTGGTGTGACTGAAGAAATGATTAAACCTTTCCTCGAAGGACTGACAATATCCCAAGCCATCAGGGATAAACGTTTGTTCATCACTGATCTAGAAGTAATGAATGGGATTTCTCTCAAAGAAGGCTGTGCTGTAAGTTTATTCATTAGATTTCTCTTGAGGTTATAAGTTTGTTCTCACTGATCTAGAAATACTGAATGGGTTTTTCTCCTATAGGAGGCTATGTTGTAAGTTTATTCACTACTGATCTAGAAATACTGGATGGGATTTCTCTTGTTGAAGGCTGTGTTGTAAGTTTGTTTGTCACTGATCTAGAAATACTGAATGGGATTTCTCTTATTGAAGGCTGTGTTGTAAGAGTGTTCTTTACTGATCTAGCTCTAGAAATATTGAATGGGATTTCTGTTATCGAAGGCTATGTTGTAAGTTTGTTCATCACTGATCTAGAAATACTGAATGGGATTTTTCTTGTTGAAGGCTGTGTTTAAGTTTATTCATTACTGATCTAGAAATACTGGATGGGATTTCTCTTGTTGAAGGCTGTGTTGTAAGAGTGTTCATCACTGATCTAGAAATACTGAATGGGATTTCTCTTATTGAAAGCTGTGTTGTAAGAGTGTTCTTTACTGATCTAGAAATACTGAATGGGATTTCTGTTATCGAAGGCTATGTTGTAAGTTTGTTCACCACTGATCTAGAAATACTGAATGGGATTATTCTTGTTGAAGGCTGTGTTTAAGTTTATTCATTACTTAACTAGAAACATTGAATGGGATTTCTCTTGTCGAAGGCTCAAACACTGTATAATGAATATCTTAAGTGCTACAATCAATGCGATACATATAGCAAAATTACAACTAGAAGTTATCAGCCATACGGTACATGTCTATATGCATAAAATATAACATTAATGAGTTAATCCTTGGATCTCTCCAAACTACATTTACATTAAAACTTGCCAAAATATGACATCTGTTTCATATTTGGATATTTTACTTGAAAATGACGTTAATGGTAATCTAACAACCAAGCTTTATGATAAACGTGATGACTTTAACTTCTCAATCGTCAACTTCCCTTACTTATGCAGCAATATACCTTCATCACCTGCATACGGGGTATATATCTCTCAGTTGATTCGATACGCAAGAGCATGCTCTACGTATATACAATTTCTAAAACGAGGTAAATTATTGACAAATAAGTTGATGAAACAAGAATATCAGCTGTCTCGTTTAAAGTCATCAATTCGTAAGTTCTATGGTCGATACAATGACCTTGTCAGCAAATACAACTTATCATTGAGTCAAATGCTGACTGACGTTTTTCATACTAATTGTTAGGCCATTATTTGCACACTGAATTGTCGACGGATTTTTCCGTTATTTCCCGATCATGACAAGGAGCACACGGCGGGTGTGACCGGTCGGCAGGGGATGCTCACTCCTCCATGGCACCTGATCCCACCTCTGATGTTTGGAGGTCCGTGTTTGCTCTGCTCCTATTTTGTATTGTTTAATGGACTTTTGAGCTTGAATACTGTTCGTTATCTCCACATATTTCATTCTGTATGACATTCGATTTAAGGTTTATCATCCCTCTGCTCACCCATATAAAATCTTTCCTTAAGGCTATTTGATAATCCAAATGAAATAATATAATAATATTAAAATGCACACAAATTTCAGCATACCTTGCAAAAATTTACAGAGATGGCCTGTAACCTTGACAGTTTTATAAAGAAATACAGCGAACACGCTCATAATGAATTGACGCTTAAAGCGAAGTGATTTTCATTCCCCTTTGACTTTTAAATATATTGAACAGTTAACGGATATAGCGAATGACGCTTATAACGAAGCAAATTTTTCCGTCCCCCTGGCACTTCGTAAGCGTGTTTTACTGTAATAGTAATTTATGTTAGAGTTATCTATCTTATTAGAGTAACAATAAACCTTAAGACACACTTTAATAAAGATATACAGAGGAGTTAAAATAAAAACCTGTATGTGTTAAATTTTGTCTTCTTGTGACTTTTGCAGTGTCCAGCACCCATTGCCCTTTTCTTTGTTGATGCTAGAGGTCAGCTGATGCCAGTAGCGATACAACTCTTTCAACAGAAGTCACGTGATAACCCTGTAAGGTCTTATCTCATGTGTTAACTACTGCCGTACTTAATTGGGAAAGGGTTAATAGAACTTACTAGTCTATTGAAAGACCATCGCTCAAACACTAATTTTACTCACTCAATTTTAGGTATTTTTGCCTAGTGATCCCCCATATACCTGGTTGATGGCCAAAATGTGGTTTAATGTTGGTGACTCAAATCTCCATCAAACCATTGTTCATCTAGGTAAAGCTGTATGCTTTCTTTTTAGTATCAAAAAGATTTTTTTATATCGAAATATGTTCGGTGTTAGTTTATACTATTAAAACTTCATAAAAATATTTATTTTTTCAATTCTTTTGTCATTGGTATAAATCATTAAATAAGGCGAATAATCTAAATTCTTAAAAGCAACAAGTATTGAAGACAAGTTCGTAATTATCAATATTCATATCTGTTCATTGATTTTACAGCATCGCAAAATCGTTTAATTGATTCTTGTTATATCGTGATATAAATTGGTCAAATATAGTTATATATTTTTTCTTCGATCAAAATAAACATGCTCAAGGCTTACCAACTGACGATTTCATGAATGCTCATCAACACATCTATAAATGTTTATCAGTATCCGGTTTACTTTAAGGTTGTACACACCTAATTTTGGAGAGCGTGTGTGTTGCGGGCAATAGATGTCTGTCGCCTTCACATCCCATGTTTAAACTGCTGGCTCCTCATTTTCTCTACATTATTGCAATAAATAAGTAGGTACATTTCATTCTTTTTGATGAAAATGAATTTTGCATGTGGATAAAACGTGTATTAACTGATATCCATGAACACGAGAGAACAAGAACCTTATGTAGACTTTGTCATAACAAAATTAATCTGCAACTAAAAACAATAAAAATCGCATTTTTTTCCGCGGCATAATTTAGAGATGGTTCAAATATACACCGTGACTAAATCGATTTTGTTTTCCCATTTTTAAAAATGTTAAATGAAATTTTTATAAAATTTTAAACAATTTCAGCCGCGGTCTTGACAATTTTTTGCGCCTGGAGGAATATTCAATATAGCAACAGTGATTGGAAGCAAGGGTGCTGCGGAGCTCATCGCAAAAGGGTGAATACATGTATATAAGGGGTTCACGTTTTTACCTTTTCGTGTGTATTATAGTCCTTGTATGAGGTCGATCCATACATATATCGACTTCACAGAAAACACATAGTAAGACTTTGGAATGCTTTTCTTTGAAGTCGATATATCAATGGATTGACCGAATCAATTGTCTGTATTTGTAATAATATTTTCCTTGGAACAAATAAGATACAGTGTATTTAGAAAGTCATTATATATAATTATATAATTATAATTTGTAAGTGTTGAAGACTTTTTACCATTGTAGACACATCTTTGGATTTGCCCATTTATGACTATCGTAAAAAGTAATTTTGTACGCAATATCAAACAAACCAATCAGATTTATTCGGTAATTTTAATATCATGCATTCAGTTTCTACCGATGTTATAGAGTAGGATTTCTCCCATGGCCAGCTTTACCACCGGAATCTTTACTCTAGAGTAGGATTTCCCTCCGAGAGGATATCGTACGCTAGAGCCAGATTTCCCCTCTTTCTTTCTCAGAGTAGGATTTCCCCTCTTTTATCATTGCTTAAATCATATCGACAATATTTTGGCTACAAGTTTTTATGAAAGTCAACTGATTTTTTTAATGGAAGTATGAGTGTTTTCGACTCAAAGAATTAATTGTTGAATTTGTTATGAAATCTTAAGATGTATAGTTACAAATCAGCGAATCTCAACCCAAAATTTTAACTCATAGGAAACTGTTAAATGAGTAACTAAAAAAATCGTGAGACTCGAAGTCTCAACATCCTCTCGAGGCGCAGTACGTAAGTGTTTGTTTACGAAAATGTAAAAAGTTAAAAAGTATTTCAGACCACCTTTAGTGATTCGATAAGTTGTTTGTCCTCTAAAAGCCCAATATTTCATCTATGGATCGATTCTTTTTACACAGAGTATGTAAGAAAATTCTAAAATTTAGGTCATTGGTAGGTTCTACTGGCCATTTTGTGAGTATTTGAATCAAGCAGTTCTTTAAAAGGAAAAAATTTAGAAATAGTAAGATGTGTTTCTGAAACACTGATTGCCCCCGTATGGCAGCTTATGGCGAAGGTTTTGAAAGTTTTTCAAAGGCAAATCAAATTCCATGGTCAAGGTCAAGAAATCAAAACTGTTGGTACCGGAAGAAAGATCTTGCCTGTCACAAGGAATACATCTGTGAAAAATGAAATCCTTGACACCAACAGTTCAATAGTTATGGCAAGGATAAAGTTTTTTCAAAAGTAGGTCAAACTCCAAGGTCAAGATCAAAGAGTCAAAAGGAATGGTGTCCAAAGGAAGGTCTTGTCACAAGGAATATACCTGTTGAAATATGAAAGCCCTAGCAGCAACCATTCAAAAGTTATGGCCGAAGTTAAAGTTTGGTAAAAATTTTGCAAAAGTGAGTAGGTCGCCCGCGTGGCGCAGTGGTTAGAGCGCCTGCTCTAGAGTCGCGAAGTAAGGAGTTGATCCTTACGTCGCGGGTTCGAATCCCACTGTGGGACGTGGAGACCGGTCCTTCGGATGAGACCGTATAAACCGAGGTCCCGTGTCGCAGTAGGTGCTTGCACGAAAAAGATCCCTCACTGCTCAATGGCCGAGTATAGGACAAAATTTGCAGCTCTCCACCGGCAAGTGGTGGCGTCTCCATATGAGTGCAAAATTCCCGAGAGGGACGTTAAACAACATACAAACAAACAAACAATCAAACAAAAGTGGGTAAAACTCAAGGTCAAAAATGTTATTACCCAAGGAAAGGTCTTGTCACAAGAAATGTACAGGTGAAATATGAAAGCCATAGCTCCAACCAATCAAAAGTTCTGGTCAAGGTTAAAGTTTTTGCGGACAAACAGATAAACAGTCAAAAAGAGAGACAGACGGACGCACAAAGCAAGAACTACATGCCATTAGTGATCGTCCAAATGTAAAATGTCCGCAGTAGTTACAAGACGCTTCTAAGAAATAAAACAGAGAAGTAAAATTATAATTTTTTTTTACCTTAACATTTAGTTATATGGCCTTTTGACCTTAGAACTCTCTGTATTCGTCAGGGGGTTTGACCTGTATAAGTTCTGAACATAATAAATTGGGATATTTATCCAGATACGTCGATATGCCTCCAGCTGATTTTGACACAAGAATATTTCATTGTCGTTTTTTCAGTTCTCTTTTCAGTCTTTACCATATATTTTCAATAACATTAAAATTAGGACCCAAACCATTGAATGTGCCTTTTATTCTGTAATTTATATTCTTGAACTATTTTTGAACGATTCGGGCTCTCTCCACTCTTCACCCACCTTTCTCCAAATAAAACACGGTTATTAGTCCCAACGTCCACTTTGCATTCATCACTAATGATTACTCTTTTCAATAATTATCTATAGTTTTGTATCTGTTTCTACACCAGGAGAGCCGTGTTTTTCTGTTCGCTTCGCGAATTCTGATGCGCTTTCGAACAACCCTTCTTAAATATCCCTGTTTGTATAAATTTCGTTTAACGGTCCGATTAGATATAGCAGAGTCCCTGTTTTCATTGAACAAGGCTGTTATGTCTGATAATTTTCTCTTTCTGTTTTCTTTTACTAACCTTAAAAGACGTCGGCTGTCTCTGTCACTTAATTTTGCCTGCTTTCCTTTCCTCGAAATGTTTTCTACATTTCCCCGCTTTCGATACCGGTCCACTACAGATTTTATTGTTTTATTAATTATTATTAATTAAGTATTAATAATCTCCTTGCTATCTCCGAATGCTTTAATCCCGAAAGGTACAGAGAAATTATAACTTCTTTCTCATCAGTACTCAATTCTTTACGCATGGTAGTCATTTTTTTTTAAAAAAAATTTTAGAAATACACAGCAGACGAAAATAATTTTTGCTACGTAATTGTGATATGTGACAGTCACGTGGATACGCTATAAGAAATATTTACTAATTCAGTCAACATTGACGCCATGGTTAAAAGTCACAGCGCCGATGAACTCGTGTGAAAATTCAAGGTGACGTAATGAAAATTGAATTTGGATGATCAGTAATGGCACAATACTCTATATCCCCCCGTAATCTTGATTACGGGAGCACAAAAGGCCAAAAACAAAACAATTATACAAGAAACACTGCTTTTGCAAGCCGAACTATATATGTCCCCTCAACCCAGCGGTGTAATATTAGATTTGGAAGCATAGAGCAAATGATTTCCTTAAGTTTTCCAAATTTCATTTTTTTTCAGGAATAAATGACCCATTTTTAGTTCCATTTCAAAGACAGCTATTTTGGATATTTAAAAACCAGAACCTTGTAGAGAATACAAATTTCTTTTTGTTTCAATGGACACAGTTAAGAATTTGTCCAACCGATTGCATTTTACCAATATATTTTTTTTCAGAAACAAGTTTGACTTGATCAAAAGAATAAGATTCTGAAGACTCAAAAATTGAGATTTAAAATTTTCAATTTTCTTATTCATGTTTCAATGGAACTTGTCGCCATTTTGAAGAAGGGACACTTGTAACAATATGTCGACCCCCTCCCCTCCCCCCTCATACATAAGTAAAGCCAAGATATTTTGTTAAGGGGATTTGTTCTGAGGGAAATCACACTCTATAACTATTACACAGAGTAGGATTTCCCCCCGGAATATTGAATGAAATATATTGAGATAACGAACAGTAATCAAGCTCAAAAGTCCCTTTAAACAATAAAAATCAGGAGCAGAGCAAACACGGACCTCTAAAACATCAGAGGTGGGAACAGGTGCCATGGAGGAGTGAGCATCCCCTTCCGACCTGTCACACCCGCCGTGTGCTCCTTGTCATCATTGGGAAATAACGGAAAAATCCGTAGACAATTCAGTGTGTAAATAATGGCCTAACAATTAGAATGAAAAACGTCAGTCAGCATTTGTCAATAATAGATTGTATTTGCTGACAAGGTCATTGTATCGATCATAGAACTCACGAAATTATGACTTTAAGCGAGAAACTGATGTGGGACTTCCTTAGTAGAATTCCTACTCTAGAGTCATTTTTCCTTGGGACAAATCCTACCCTAGAGCCTATTTTTCAGGGGGAAAATCCTACTCTAGAGCCAATGTTCCGAGGGAAAAGATTTTAGAGGGGAAAGCCTACTCTACAAGACCGGTATATTCATCTGTCTATTTGTTTACGGCCGTTTCTTTTTTTTATTTTAAGGTCATACGCAACGTACACTACCTGTTGGTAATTTTTCAATATATTCTTAATTTAAAATGAAGGTACCCTCAGATGTTCTTTGACAAAAAAATCAAAATATATTACAAGGGTTTTTGAAAAGATAACATGATGAAAATTTGGTGTTTTTCAAAGTAAAATATACAAAAATGCACAATCATACCTTTTAGCTAGTATTTCTTCAACTTTATTCCTTAGAAGAGAAGTTCAGCAATAGATAATGAAACTCTAAAGTTTTCGACATATGAAACCAACTTTTTTTCTGTGATATATGTGGAAATCCAATTTGCATAGTTGTTTATACCTGAGTAACCTCTCTTTGAAGAGAGAAAATTCAATACACCCATACATACAACAGAAAGCACTGTAAATTGTTGTGCATTTATATATTCATGGAATAATTCTGAAGTTACTGAATAATCTTTGAGTTCCATGTCACTCTTGGTTTTTCTTAAGTTTTTTTCTGATAACAGAGATCTTACCCCGTTTTCTTTGTCTCTCTGGTAAGCTAAGAAAATATGCTGAAAATGAAGTCATGTTTCTGAAATTTTGTTCACTGTAAACGTCTATAAAATAGTATTATCAATAAGACTTTGCAATGATTGCATGTTTGGATCTCATGTATATTTTTCATCATCCAAAAATTCAAATTATCAAGAACAAATTCTATAGAAAAGGATTGCTTCAACATAACATTGCTAGACATTAACAAAGGTGCTGAAAGAGTTTGTGAAGCCAAAGCATCAGACTTGGTATCATAAAGAGTCACACACAGGTCCTTCAGCAAGTTCAATTGTTTATTTGTTTAAGGAATAACTGTCTAATTTTCGGCCGAAGGCGTTTATGCATAAAATTATCACGCAGGCCAATTGATTGATCATCATCATGAAACCAAAAAATCTGACAGTTATTCCTTATATTTACATGTTCTTGATTCCGTAAAATCACGTGCTACAAGCTCCGCCTACTTCTGTCTCTCTCTGTCCCGCCCCGCACGTGATTTAATTTTACCACGCCTATCAATGAACCAGTAGCTTCATGTAGAAATCAAGTATTTTTACTATTTGTAATTTTATCTCGGACAAAGACATTGGAAATGTTAATATTTGTGCATAATAAATTATTTGTTTATAATTCTTGCAGCCTGGGTAAAGTTCTCAAAAATAGGTAATGTATCTACAAACCCACATAGATGATCCGAGTCATTAATACCAATACAACCCAATACACGAACTAAAACACTAGAGACAAACTGACTTGGCATTATGAGCAACTTTTTTGGCGAATTTTCTCCATTACAAACAAAGATATTCTAAAACGCACGAAAGAGCTTATCAAGGGACGCAATCTAAATAAAAAATCGAACCCAATTCGTGAAATATTACATATTATTATCGGAACTTTTTATTATTAGGAGAAAGGAAAAATAAAGTAAAAACTACGTTGCGTCTGTCCTTCAATTCATCATGTTGTTTTGATTTTTACTTTTTACACTTGTACGCAGATTTTAAGGAATACCATGAAGAAATCAACGGAAAAAGAAGTGTACAAATAGATACCTTTTAATTGTTTTAAAACTAAATCAATTTTTGTAAATCTATTATACCATCACATGACTTATGTATTAATTGAATTAACATAGTGCACCTAACTCTGTGTTGACTTTAAGTTCGGTCACATGATTAGACAGTCACGTGATAAATGCATATAAAGTCATCGTCGCAACCCATTCTGGTAGTGGTTGAATGAAAAGAGAATATTTTGTAGCTCATTAAAATATTGACCAATGCAAGTAAAGCATAGTCTTAAAATAAACTTTGACGCGACCTTTCAATACCCAATCACATTATACGGATTTCAATTGCAATGAAAATAATTATTTTCATTGGCTGAACATGACGCCACAGCATAGAGGCGTAATTATTCAAGATTACGACATTATTATTATTATTATTATGTGATCAAGCAGCCACGGGTAGCAGAGAGCTATATACGGACTCCGAACCGTGGCTTGAGACGAAGATATAATGTGTACTGCATGGAGATCAAGATCACAAGGGCATACCTTAATTTAAAATTTTAAGCGATGAATTGCTTCTACATATCTTGTAGTTTCCGGTCAGTGCTGCTGCTTTAAATAGAATAAGCATTTTATTGGTTTAAATTTCAAGTAATTCATTTTCTGGTATTATGAAGAATTATGTCACAGTAAACATTTCCCGTATAAATTAGGACACCCTCCTTTATGTATAGCCTAAATAACAGTGCTGCGTATTTCTTTCAGAACACGTTCTTGGAGAATGGATGTAGAAGGAACATATCCAGAATTTTTGCGACACAGAGGGGTTTGTACCTTCACAATTCGTCCTTCCCTTTAAAAGATATGTACTAGACAAAATTCCTAACGCACCAATTAATATTTTCAACTGTATATAAAATCGGCATAAGTATATTTAATATGCCATTTTGCCTAATGTAGCCATATTTGCAGATGTCTTGGTGTCAAAACAAGACCCTCAAATTGCCTTTTTGTATGCAATCGAATTTCTGAAGTGGTTTCTGATGGTGGTCAGTGAGGTTGCAACAGCAGTGTGTCCGTGTCTCTAAAACGAAGTAGAGCGATATATCAATCATACCACAAATTTGGGTACAATCTTGCAATAGTCGGGTGATATCTTTTGAATGTTGTGGCCAGCAATAGACAATATACGAGGGTTGATCCAAAAATAATTCCACAATTGTTATAAAATCCTTAATTATTAAATGTTATCAACAAAATTTTATATAAGTTAATTTTCCAATATATAGAGAGTTTTGCCTTAAAATTTCATTCAGTTATATAAAATACAAAAATAAACAAAACGTTAGGTTTTGTCTTTCGCCGCACGGCAAGAATGTTACCGGCGTCAGCATGACTTTACTTTTCGGCAATAATTTTCAGTTCATCTACATATCTTTTTTTTTTAATTCATAGATTTTATTTGTGCTTTCACATATACATATACAGACGTTACATAGATTAATGAACAATTACTACATACTTTCATTTCTACTTCCTAGTATTTTTAGGTCACCTGAGTAAACTCAGGTGACCTATTGCTATCTCTTTTCGTCCGTCGTCATGCGACGTGCGTCGTCCGTCGTGCGTTAACTTTTGAACATTTTCAACTTCTTCTTTAGTACCGTTTGATCAATTTCAACCAATATTGGCATATAGCATTTATGGGTGAAGGGGAACAAAAAATGTGAATTTCATGGTCCCTGCCCCCCTAGGGCCTTAGGGGTGGGGCTTAAGCCACCAAAATTGATGCAATCTTTAAAAATCTTCTTTACTCCTGGACATCAAGCAGTCAAACTTTTGGCATGATTGTAATAAGCATTGGGCCCTCTACCAAAATTGTGCAATTCATGGCCCCAGGGTCAGGGGGTTCTGATGCTAGGGCGGGACTCTTATGATTATATAGTGAAAATGCATTAATTCTTTGAAAATCTTCTCCTCTGCTCCTGGGTATTTAGCAAAAGAACTAAGTACATAGTTATGATGAGGAAGAGAGCCTCTTTCAAAATTGTGAATTCCATGGCCCCTGGGTCAAGGGTTCTGGTGTAAGGGCAGGGCTCTAATGATTATATAGTGAAAATGCATTAATTCTTTGAAAATCTTCTCCTCTGCTCCTGTGTATTTAGCAAATGAACTAAGTACATAGTTATGATGAGGAAGAGTGCCACTTCCAAAATTGTGAATACCATGGCCCCAGGGTCAGAGTTTCTGATGATAGGGCGGGCCCCCTAATGATTATATAGTGAAAATGCATTAATTCTTTGAAAATCTTCTTATCCTCTGCTGCTTGGTATTAAGCAAATGAACTAAGCACATAGTTATGATGAAGAAGGAGCCTCTTTCAAAATTATGAATTTCATGACCCTTGGGTCGGGATCTGGTGATAGGGCGGGGCTCTAATGATCATATAGTGAAAATGTATTAATTCTTTGAAAATCTTCTCCTCAGCTCCTAGGTATTAAACCGATAAAATAAGTACAAAGTTATGATGTGATGAGGAAGAGTGCCTCTTCCAAAATTGTGAATTCCATGGCCCCAGGGTCAGGTCTGGTGATAGGACGTGGCTGTAATGATTATACAGTGTAAATGCATTAATTCTTTGAAAATCTTCTCCTCTGCTCCTGGGTATTCAGCAAATGAACTAAGTACATACTGTATAGGGGGAAATTAACTCGCGGTGTTAATATTCGCTATATTCACGGTGTTAATAAATCCGTGAAATCAAGAAACAGTGAATTAGTTTTCAATAACCTTCATGTCTTATTTGGAAATTCGAGAATAGGCTTCGATAGGTATATATACGTGCAGTACATGGTCATTTCAGTAATTACGAGTAGTACTTGTCATTCAATTATTTTAATTATCACGCTTTACTTTAATTCAAATCTGCAGATAATAACCTGTATTTGTTAAAACGCTGTTTTAATAGCCAACACTACATGTTTCATGAATCAAAACACGTGGGTCATGGGTTTTGATTACCAGTACCCGTGCGTAACTAATGTGTTACCTGCATTATCATGCGTAGTAGTTTTTATTATCATTTTGGTTTTAAAAAATCTTTCAAATAACTATCGAACTTGCTGAAGATGTGGAAGGATATTATTTCGTCGACATACATTAACACATTTATTATCCTCCAGTGATATTTCGCCGCGGTGTATTATCCCTTCGGAAAGAAGATCTTGGGGTGTACATGCACTCATCGTAACTGCATATAGGAAAGTCATTCGACGTTTATAGTCAAGGACTTTTAATAACTGCACTTGTTTTAATTAATTATTAAATCTAACTATTTTATATAAACCAACCCTGTTTTTCGTGAAGTGAATACATAACGCTGATTAATGTCGTTCTAGCTATGATACGGATATAGACAAGGGAGGTAACTTTTATTATATACCGATTCCGCGAATTCAACAAACCGCGATCGTGCCAGAGGAGAGAAAAACGTGAAAATTACAACCCGTGAAATTAATCCCCTATACAGTAGTTATGATGAGGAAGAGAGCCTCTTTCAAAATTGTGAATATCATGGACCCTGGGTCAGGGATTTGGGGGGAGGGCTTACTTATTATATACTGAAAATAAATTAATGCTTTGAAAATCTTCTTCTCTGCCCCTTGGTATTAAGCAAACAAACTAAATACATAGTTCTGATGAGAAAGAGTGCCTCTTCCAAAATTGTGAATTTCATGGCCCCAGGGTCAGGGGTTCTTGTGCTTGGATGGGACTCTTTTGATTAATTAGCAAAAATGCATTAATGCTTTGAAAATCTTCTCCTCTGCCCCTGAGTACTAAGCAAACAAACTAAATTGCAATAATATCAATGTAACTGTATTAAATAAAATTATAAGTTAATGTGCGTTTTTTGCTCCTGGGTATCTAGGAGGCAAACAGAGTACACAATTGTAATAAGTGAAGGAAATGAGAGTTACTCCCCTTTGCTAGATGTTGTTAATCAAGAAATCCTTTTATATAATTTAAATAACAGGTTTTTTGATTAAATGAGAATACAAGAAATATATATATATAGAAACAAAATAAAAATGAATATTTGGTTTAAATGAGCAAAGCATGCTCAAAGTCAGATTCTTGCCTGGAAAGCAGTATAAAAGATTGACATAAAGATTATTTATATATTTAGCAAAAGTTGTAATTGTACATAGTATGTTTACACTGAGGTGTTCTGTTTGACGGTAGATGAGTTATTGTCACTGGGAGAGTCATGGTTGACAAGAGACTGGATGAAGTTGTTTTATACTTTATCAAAGTGAATAAAAAATCACAGAGAGTCAGGGTGACTTATTGTAATTTGTGACAAGTTGCAAATAGCCATGTTGTATATCCAAGTCTGTGTGTACTGAATTGTAGCACTAGGCAAGTGACAAAAACTTATCTGTATATATTGAATACCTTACACAATAGGCAAGTGTCCATTGTAATTGTATTTATTATACTTTCATGTTAAATACTAAAATCTGATTGGTTTAGACACATTTAACAATCCGTAATATTACCCTCAGCGTTAGCAACACACTTGACAACGGGTAACATTACGAAAATATCACATGCGTTCAAATCATGCGCGTACGGTTCACCGTAGAATTCTCAGAACGTCGGTTGTGCGTTTGAAAGAAACCGAGTAAACGACGTCAGTAAAAGCTTGCGTCCGATGTGGCTTACTTGAAAAAGACAAACGACAGACGAAACATCCTTGCGAGTGCAAACTTTAGGTGATAAAGGACTTTTTGAGTAGCAAACAAATAATAAAGAGGTTGGTAAATCTTTTACGAAGCTTTCCTATTGAGAAAAATAGAAGTGGGGAGTTTGAAAGCTTTCTAAGCGTGAAGTTAACGACGATCTCCGAATTTTTTTAATGACATCCGAAATCAATAAGACATTCAGTATAATAAAATAAATAGTGCACGTTTTTTAGGGTAACAGTTGAAATTGACACCCCTCGGAAAACCATTGTCAACCTCCGCTGACGCGTCGGTTGACAATGGTTTTCCTTGGGGTGTCAACTGTTACCCTCAAAAACGTGCACTATTTATATAATATTGCATTCATTATCATCCCTGTAAGACTTGGGAAAACCAAGTATAATCCTGTGGAGATCACTCGGGTCTTAACAAGTTACAATAATCAAGGATATTTTTACCAGGTTTTTGAAATTCTTAGGCAACATTGCTTCATCTGTCAGTTAATGTTGTTCTATACTTCTATGGATTCTTTACAGTGTTGTGTTATACTCAGGTGACCGTTAAGGCCCTTGGGCCTCTTGTATATAACACATTTTCTTTGTAGTAAATATACGAGGGTTGTCCCAAAATTCCTTAGACTGAGCTCATGAAATATGTGGAGATAACGAACAGTATTCGAGCTCAAAAGTCCATTAAACATTACAAAATAGGAGCGGAGCAAACACAGACCTCTAAGACATCAGAGGTGGGATCAGGTGCCATGGAGGAGTGAGCATCCCCTTCCGACCGGTCACACCCGCCGTGTGCTCCTTGTCATGATCGGGAAATAACGGAAAAATTCGTCGACAATTCAGTGTGTAAATAATGGCCTAACAATTAGTATGAAAAAAAGTCAGTCAGCATTTGACTTAATGAAAGATTGTATTTGCTCATATCTTTTTAAATATAAAAAAATTAATGTATCTTAAAAATTTTGTGGATAAAGTGTTTTCTTGGCAGATAAATTACACAATTTTATCATGTTTACTTGAAAATATTTCGAGGAATAAGATTTGAAGTGATATCGTTCTCTAACACCCGA